ATGTAACTTTTACTGTTTTTGCAGTGCAGGCCAAAATGGCTCGCAGATGGGAGATTTTTTTCCGTCTTATGTGACACTTATTGTTATATATTGGCCAATTCACTCAATAACTACATAAATTATTATATATATGTAATTATCATATATGAGCTATATTACTGTTAAGTTTCATTAAAATCCATTCAGTATTATTTAGGTGAAAGAGTAACAAAGATCCATACAAACGTAAGATTGAAATTAAAAGCGTAAGTGGTTAATATACAACTTTAAAGCGTTGTAGATCCTAAACAATCATATTAAATGAAAAATGGTGTTAGGAACCTAAATATGATTTTTGATTATCTAGACAGTGATACCCCACTCGATATATTTTGTCAACTTATTTTTTTTACTTCGTCACAATATGGCGCCCAATTTTGCCCATATTGAATTTTAATTACTATCATATCTTTAGTAGCACTCCCATAATTGAGACGAATCGATTGATGTATGAATCATCAAAATCGGTCCAGGCGTTTGGTCTCTAGTGTGCCACAAAGGAACAAACATACATATATAGACTGTTAAACACATAACCCTGTCTGCGCGTCGCGCTTCGCGCTCTTGCATTGCGCAGCCGGGTAAAAAACCGGCAGAATGATTTCAGTAGTATTATGTCTTTATGGCTATTCCCCTCGTAGTCGCGTCGGTTGTGTTACTCTATTACGGTTACCAGTCACTTCTTATCAGAACGGCTATTTATCCTAAAGTAAAAAAATAAAAAATATATCCTAACGCGCGTGTCACACTTATACAATTCAAAATTTAGAGACATAGATATTTATTTTTTGGATCAAAACAGAAATTTAGAAATGATTTGAGGTTGACACTTTACCCCCCCGTCCCCCGCCCCAAATAAATAAATAAGTAACAAATACCCTTGTAATTTTTAAATATATATACATATACATATTTATTGTTTATTTTATGCATGTTTTTATTTCATTTTGGTTGATTGCAGATGCATGAATGATTTTTAGACTAGTACCCAATTAGTATTTTTTCTCGGGTAATATCAAGTTTTCATTCCTTTCGCCCGCTTTGTTTCATCACCTAAGATTGAAGACTATTTCATCAATGTTTTTTTCTTTATATGTTTTCTTTTTGGTAACTAAGGTTTATATATGTTATTCAGCTGTGTACATTTTTGCTGGCCTTTGGCTGTTTAATGTACCTTTACAAATAAAATAAAAAATAAATAAAAAAGTATGGGAAATATAATGTGGAGTATACATTGTTCGCATGAGTTGTCATGATGCGTTATTTGAAGACCCGAGAGATTGCTGTGCTGTGCTGTCACGTCTGCTGACAGCGCTATAACTGACAATTGACTGTATTTTAGACTGGGTCAGCTCGACGTGACCGCGACATATCCGTGCGGCCTAAAACGACATTTACTATACTTGTGTACAAGACTAAGATATTTTGTATAGAATTGTGCACATTTCAATAAATGACACCTTTCTTGATTAGTGATTTTGTACCTGCCAATACTACTGACGTCACTCGTGCATTCATAATAATTTAAGTAGGATATTGGCGGACTAGTAAACATGCATGAATACCATTGATAACGATTCAATCTCTAAAAGGTTCACAGAGACTATTGTCACGTCGCGGTCGCTACTGTTAAACATGAATGTCGCATACAAATTGGGTACAGAACATGACATTTCAACATACCGTAAGCTTAGCTCAAAACACAGTCGCAAATTCATGCCTTTGTTAAAATTAAAAAGCGTGCATTAACAGTTAGGATTTCTGTCTGGTTGATATGATAATACAGCTTTGAGTATCTATTACAGACACATATTGTACCACAGCTTAAATATTAAATTTCAGAGTATTTTTTAAATGAAAAGAAGTTACAAATCAATAAGCCAGGAGGCCTACTCTATTTCAACGAAAAACGAAATTTCGATCGAAATTTCGTATGTTCCCTACTCTGTTTCCTTTTCATTTCGAAAATTCGCTCGTCCAAAATATTTTGACAACTAAATTCTCCAACCCTACTCTAATTCACAAAACTTTCGAAGGAAAAGTTGAATTTGACAGATAATTGTTCGAAATTTAACCTCAAATCGACGAAATGAAAAGTGTTACCTTTTCATTTTCGTTTTGAGATTTTTGTTTTAATTAAGCCTAAAATACTTGCAAGAGTATTTTTAATAATAGCTGCTTAGCTCGAGAAACATTTTTAGCATGTAAAATTAACAAATAAACCATTTTTTTTATTATTTTTTGTAATTTCGATACTTCAAAGTATTAAACGACAAATTGACGTTGACATACAGTAGGTTGTATCGACTCTACAAATTAGTCGGCTAACACTGTCAAAGAAGGTTCTTTCAATGTCATCAAAAAATTTGCCGTAAACTACCTATATTGTTTCCAAGTAAAAAAACGTTTTCTTAAAAGTAGAGAAAAAAGAACTCAAAAACATGACTCATTCCATTCGTTCAAGAAAACTGTTTATGGTTCCGAAGTTAATGTGCCTGTTCGAAAATGAAATAGAGTAGAAACACTGGCGAAATTTCGTTTGAAATTCGTTCGTTACCGAAATTTCGTTTCGGAGAAAGAGAGTAGAGCTCCAGGTCTCATGCGCCAATTTTCTAACAAAACATGTTATCGATACAAGTTTTATCCAACCGCGCCGGCGCCTTTAGAAAAACTGTTAGGCCACGCCCCTAATGGGTTAGCAAACGTGTTAGCACACAAGAAAACACGGCACAGAAAAACCGGCTTAAAACTTAAAAGTTTCATCATCGTCAGCCTATTAATGTCCCCACTGCTTGGGGCACAAGCTTTCCCTATGGATGGAATAGGGAGATTGGGCCATGACCCACCACGCGGGCCCAGTGCGGATTGGCGGGTGCTAACGACTGCAGATGCAGCCGGGACCAACGGCTTAACGTGCCTTCCGGAGCACGGAGGAGCTCGAGATAGTAAATTTTTGGTCATCCATCCAATGACCGACCACTGCGAATGTTACTTATAATAATAATAATCATTTATTTTCGGATAACAAGGATCCATAGTAGATTAGTACCAAACAGATTATACTTAAAAACTAATGTTAGTAAATAAACACAATCATGTGGTTTGATGTCACCCTACGATGCCCTCGCCTATATGACTGCATGCAGTCGTATCCAGCGACCTAGCATCGGAGAGTCCCACCGTTCTACTTAACTTCAACGATCACAGCCGAAACCACTTGCGCCATCAAACTTAAAAGTATAAATCTTTAAAAAAATTTATAGCACAGTGTGACCTAAACCCGCACTTTACGCACGCTTTTCCGTGACCTAAGTCACAGAATATATACACTACGCGAAAAGAAGCGACACTTAAGCATGTGTGCTCGTAAAATCGCCCGCGGCTATGTGTGGGTGTCTGGAGGTGCGCGGGGGCGTTGCGCGGCGCGCGGGGCGTGGAGACGGCAGTCGCCGACTGCCTCGACCGAAGGGATGGCAGTAGCGAAATAGTAAAATAATAGCGTTGCACTGCATTGCACGCACAGACTGACTACGCTACGCAATCTTATTATTATTTAGATAATAATAAGAATTATAAAACGAATCGAAAAAGGAGAAAACATATAAAAGTTAGCAATTTGTTATAGTACCTACATTAAAAATTGATTATAAAATCAAACCTATCCTTCATTATTTACCCCAGTATCCTTGAATCAGTTTACATTTAATAACTTACTATGCATAAATATTCATTGGCACAAGTCTAAATTCCAAGTTCAACCCTAGCGCATACACGCTCCTGCTCAAGGTCACTGACGCTGGAACTCTCACGTACACAGAGTGTCACCGCTGTGCCTAAGTTGCCTATTTCTGCACGGTGTGTAAATGAATTGACCAACTTCACTCATGTAGAATTAGTACATTACGATACGCGTAACTTGACTTTACTATGCCAATCAAGGAATAAACGTTCATGGATACATTGAAATTCTATTTTGTTGTAATGATATTTGATTTTTTCCTTTTGAAATATACTTTCAAAATGGTAATCTGAACCGGAATTCCTTCTTTTCAGAGTTTGACTTGCAGTCTGTATTGCAATTCTTTGTGATTGCAATACATGAATTTTACTTTCAAAACACTAATCGCATCCCCCGAACCCCCCCTCTTGCCCGCGTCCGGGGCGGGTTTATGTCACACTTGCTATAAAATAGTATATGATACTTGTGGCATAAGTTGTCTATTACTGCACGGCGTTTAGCACGGGCGCTAACTTCACGCCGTGCAGTAATAGGCAACTTAGGTCACGCGTACCGTAATGTACTATTTTTTTTAAATAGTGAGAATGTACTATTTTTTTTTAAATAGTGAGAATGTGAACAGCGGTACGGGTATCGAACGCAATAAAAGACTTCGTCGGAGGGTAGACCGATATGTCTGCCAATAACAGCCTACCCGCAATTACTTCAGTTACTCCGTGATCATAGCGCTTGCAACAGTGCCGAAATATCGGAAACTCGCTAAAAACAAGGTACATGGTAACAATCCCGTAAATAACTTATATTACTATAATGTTAGTGACCATGAAAGTTTAAAACAATATTTTTTTTTGAAGTTATACTTCTTTAGCCGCGTTATGAAAAAATTATGAGAGTGAAATTTTCATCACTGTAACACAAAATTTTAACATAATGAAGTTAGCCGCGGGCGCGTTATTTGTAATATTTTATTTTCCAAGCGACCGTGGGGCAGATTTGAACAAAGCAAACAGGGCAGATTTGAACGGGACATTGAAATGAAATGAAATGATGTGATATGAAATGAAATGAAATGTCATTTATTATTAATTTATTGTAATTAATTATTTGCATGCAATTAAAAACTAATTTTAAACGATGCCAAAGAAGGATAACTTGTCACGCGCCTACATAAGTACACGCACCCATTTTTTTTTAAATGTACAGAATTAAAATAATCGTTCACCATGCGCGTGCGCTCCTCCTCTATGGTGCGGATGAGGTGCGCGAAGTGGTGCAGCGAGCGGCCGATGACGCGCTCGTCCTCCGTCATGGAGGCGCCGATGCACGCGAACTCGAACTGCTCCATGCTCGCCGCGAGCGCCAGCTGCGCGGTGCCCAGCCCTGCACCCACGCGAACAGACTAACTTTATTATTTATCCACTATGCTTTAAAGAAAATATAACTAGAAAAAAAAAATTCCACGCGGACCAGGCGGCAGACGGGACTCGAACCCGCACCCTTCGCAATCCGGGCGAATGCACTGACCGATTATGCTACCGCGGCCCTCGCTAGTTATATTTTCTTTAGATTTAAACATCGAGCAGTTACATGCTTTAGAAAATTAATAAAAATTATAACTATAATTGCTATTTCTTCTTTCAAATGTTTAATACTTGTAAAAGTATTCATTTGACATTGTGGGTTACCTATAATGCGAAGAGATGGCGCTGCCTTGCAGCTTAAGAATGGCTAGAAGAATTTCGACGCGGTCCGTGAGGGCCGCGGTAGCATAATTGGTCAGTGCATTCGCCCGGATTGCGAAGGGTGCGGGTTCGAGTCCCGTCTGCTGCCTGGTCCGCGTGGAATTTTTTCTAGTTATATTTTCTTTAGATTTAAACATCAAGCAGTTACATGCTTTAGAAAATTAATAAAAATTATCACTATGCTTTAATACCAATATATATATACTAGCTGACCCAGCGAACTTCGTACCGCCATAAAAAAATAGGGGTTGATTGTAAAGGGTTGAAAATTCAGGGTTATATGTATTTACTAATGCTGCATCATAAAAAAAAAAATACTAAAATTGAAATAAAAAAATTTAGGGGTTACCCTTAACATTTAGGGGGATGAAAAATAGATGTTCTCCGATTCTCAGACCTACCCAATATGCACACAAAATTTCATGAGAATCGGGAAAGCCGTTTCGGAGGAGTTTAACCACAAACACCGCGACACGAGAATTTTATATATTAGATAATAATCGCACAGACATACTTTATTATTTATCCACTATGCTTTAATACTAATATATTATATAGACAGGGTGTAAAAAAACCTATGTCAAAGACCTAAACTGCGCATTCTGTACACCCAAACAAGTAATATTCCAAAATATTATATGTGGGAAAAAATTGTATTTTTAAGTTTAAAAAATACATTTTCTTCCAGTAAAAAATAATAAAAAAAAAAAAATAATAATAAAAACGTTTATTTGGCACAAATTACAAAAATAACTTCTTGTGTTACATGTTATATAGGTGATTGTACCAAACAGGCCACTGCTCAGTATACGTCGAGGCGACATGTGCCACGACACTGATTTTCAGCAGCAGCCTACTTAAATTAAATTACATTTAAGGTCATAAATATCATTTAAAAAAATATTAAGAATAAAAGATTTAAATACATACATATGTCAAATTACTAAAATCAATTGGATAAATATTGTGAAACAAAATGAAAGCCAAAAAAAAATATTAAATTAAATTAATATTTACAGCGTATGAAATGGTGCTCAAAATCAACCATGGCGTTCTAGCGAACCTCGTTACAACTTTTGCACATCCAATAAATATTTCCTGTATTTAACTTTAAAAGTGCAAACAGTACGCAATGTACAGCGTGGTGCGCTACTGTGGCGCTACGCAAACAATGTGCCTGTGTGTAAGTGCGTCGATAAAAAACTTTCTAAATAACGTTTAAAAAATATTAAGTAAAGTAGTAAAGTATAAATCTTGAAAAAAAAAATTTTGGCTTTGACCTTCAATATCTCCATAACTATAAATTTCCCAGTAATGGTTAGGAAGAGAAAAATTATCGTCATGATGTGGAAAATACGTGGCCTTCGACTTCGTTATGGGTTTTTTTACACCTGTATAATAATGATTTTTTTTTAATAATGTATAAAAATTAATTTATTTCATTTACTGTAATGTGTAAAACTATGTCATATAGTTTTGATTATTTATTATTATTATTTAAAATTCAGTAACAATTATATTTTATTTATTTTTATTAGTATTTTTAATTATTATTGTTTGAATTTAGTTTGAATAATTGACGAGTTGTGATACAATGATTAGATTAAGATAAAATGGGACAAAATGCAATTGTTATTGTAATTTTTAATGTGGGTTACTGTGCCTGAAATAAACATTTATTATTATTATTAATACACAATAAATAATTGTTGTAGTAAATTTTGAAATCAAGTTGTGGCAAAATAAGAGCCATTTCTGGTGACACGGTTGTCTAATGTAGAGCCACATTCCCTATTCGTTTCAAAAAGTATTGGAAGTTTAGATTTCATTGTACTGTATTTATTTCTTGGACAAATCCATTATTAGATATAATTAAATTATTGTAATCTAAATATGTAGAGCTACAAGTTGGGAGTTGCTTGTTCTGATTTCTCTGATATGATTACTACAGTCTGTTCATTTTTCTACCACATTATAATTTTGTTTTAATCGCATACACTAATTACATCCAACAACAGCTTTCAATAAGATGTAAATGAGCTATTGTACAAAGTACACTCGGCGTCAAAAAATCGCACCTCGGCGAAAATAACTTATGAAATAATATAAATAAAAATGAAAATGGCTACTACTGCTGATGAAGCCGCTCAAGTGAAGTCATTGCACTACCAACTGCAATCAGAGATGCGGCAGTGTGATGTCGCTCGGTAACTAAACTTGAGCCGTTTTTCGGTTCGAAGAGTATACCAGCGGTTCTTGGAGACCGGTGTCCATGTCCGGAGGCATGGATCTGGTAGACGTCGCTGTACCTCGGAGAGAGACGACCGATTCATCGTATCGACGTCCCTAAGAAATCGGTTCTCTAATGCTGTTATGAAATATCATTTATTTAGTAAAATTAGTAAAAGTTGCAGCTTCAGGCAGCTCGCACAACAACCGCGAGCGTTTGTACGGATAGACGAAGACTGAAGAAGAAGAAGAAAGCGGCTCATAGAGCTGCTACGGGTCCAAAATTGACCGCAGAGCATCGGTGAGCTCGCGACCACGTCAATTGGACCCTTGACTTTTCTGCAACGATAGACGCAGAAGAGTGTACAGGGTCTTCTGTACGACTCTAAGGTACGACTGGGGAACGTTTGGCCCAAGCCTGCATCCAGGAGACGGTGGATTACGGGGCGGTCCTTGTATGTTTGGGGCGACATGTCGGCCGTCGGCAAAACCAGCCTTGTAAGCGTCTCCCGGATTGGAGGCGCTCGTGGGCAAGGGTCGCTGACTGCTCACTGGTACATCACAGAGATCCTGGAAGAGCATGTAGTCCCCTATGCCGGTTTTTTCACATTAATGCGTGATAACGCTTGTGTTCACACTGCATTAATTGTGTGTTTGTGTTGTGTACCTTCAAGAGGTTGGGATCTCCATCATGCAGTGGCCAGGGTGAAGTCCAGACCTGAACCCGATAGAGCACATCTGGGACCATTTGAAACGAAAGGTTTGGTCTCCTGATCCCGCCCCCACGACTCTCCAAATGCTCGAAGAGGCCGTTATTGAGGAATGGGCCAGTATCCCTCAAGACCCCTAAAATTGGTGAGATCCATGATCATACCAATACCATCAAGTGATACTAATTTGGTGGGGGAAAGTTATTTTTTTGACTCCGAATGTATTATTAATAAAGACCTACCTATTTTTGAAGTACTTAATAAAAGTAAACACCAGAAATTGGGATTTCATTATTTAATGAAACTAATATATACATTTTTTTTATTTATTTGCCTATTTCAGATTACAATTGTTTCAAATTTAAGTATGTATTTATTATTAAATGCTGTTGTTATTTGTGATCTGTGTACTTAGAAGGGAAGGCCTTCTCCAACCACTACCATTGATCTCTTTCCCGAGCAATTCTAGACAATTTATACATTATCACTTGGTAATTCAAGTGAAAGTCAGAACATGGCATTCATAGAAACAATATTAGGAACTGGAAAAAATATATATAGGGCAATTCCATATGGGACTCTCTGTACATTTGACACACTTAAATTACAATTTATTCCTACTTTGTTTTACTTTCATTTTAAACATGGCTTTGTAGCAGTTTTAACAATTATCCTATATAGAAAAGGTGGCAACATATTTTGAAATATCATTTATTTAGTAAAATATAAATGTGACTGACACTAAATGCAAATGAAAACTTTCTGGTTTTTAAACTTCAATAATCTATCTCTGTACTGGGTGTCGATTCTGGCACGTTTCTCTAAATCTAAACTTAAACTTGACAACAGTGTTTCTTTGTCATTCTCTATACAGAATGAAAAAGAGAGACTGATGTTAAATTTAGTTTTAAGTTTAGAGAATCACGCCAGAATCGACACCATTGTTTACCTATTTCTTTATTTACTAATTATTTATGAAGGCAGTTAACAACATCTTGAGGTAACAATAATTGGCAATGACACACGACAACACAATAAATAATAGGTAAAAAAAGTTGAAATAACAAGATTGACATGCCAAGATCCATAGATATTTATATATCGAAGGCTCTTTACCAGTCGATGTATGTCTACTGATCATCCGTAGATAAATATCTATTGCGACATGGTGAGAATAGGGCAAAAAGGTTTTCCTTCGATAAAAGGCAGATCATTCGATATATATCGAAGGTGATATAATATCTATGCCGCGAGAATTGGGCCCCCTGGCGTAATAACTTTGTGTTTTTATCAAAAATGCATGAAACATACTACAGTGTATTTCATTTATAACGACCTTGGTTGTAGCGACCATTTACCTACACCGACGTTAAATCTAAGTCCCTTGAATTTAAAGTATACTTTAGTACAAAATTCATGTGGCTATAGTGAGTTTGGATGTACCGCCGAGTTTGGGTGTAGGGACTGTTTTTAATGAATCATTTGTAACAAATTATTGCACCTTTTTCCTCGATCATACAATGGAATGGGTATCAACGAACAATACCAAAGGTGTAAAGAACCTTGTCGGTCACTAAAAACGGACAAAATTGTTTTAAAATGGGTCATAATAAGCGACATGTCACTGTTAGCGAAGTCGTTATAATATCCGACTTTGTTGAAAAACGGGTCATAATAAGCGACATGTCACTGTTAGCAAAGTTGTTATATCCGACTTTGTTACAATAAATTTTATATTAAACCAAACTTTGTTGTGTAATGACGTCATAATAGGTGGTTGGTCAATATAGGTGGAGTCATAATAAACGGATTCTACTGTATATTCTGCTGATTTAAGTTTTCTGATTGTACTGCAATATTTCCAGAGTTTATTCAGTCAACACAATCAACTAATAAAAACAACCTAAAATGTATAAATGTTATTTGTCATAAATATGAATTATTTATACATACTGGCAAACAAAAATTCAAAACCTAAAGTAACATTGAATTGTATAAATGGTGCAATGAGATGACAAGAAAGTTGTGTCATACAATCACTCAAGGCCCTGATTACAAATAGTGGTGATAACAACGGCTAGTTACCACAGACCTTATCAGATAATCTAACAGTACAATCAGATAACTGATGCTTACTGTTAATTTTAAATTTTAAACAAATCAACATATAATGATATTTTAACAATAATTTTGAGTCAACACTCAAAAATAAGGAAAATAAAGGAAAATACTGTTGTTATATTTAAATAAGTGTGACATTAATGTATTCATCAATATAATAATAGAAACAAAGAAACATTGATGCCCTGCTTAAATTTTATGTGCATGTGTGTGTGTGTGTGTAGGTGGATACTGATAAGGTAGCAATAAGGAGTGCAAGCCATTTGTTTCTGTCTGTGCAGACACACAAACCCGGCAGCTTGCAGTGACTCAACTTTATACAATGAGTTTAGAAACTAACACACACAAACACAACAGATAGTGTGGCATAAAATACTACAAGGTTATATAATTTCTAAAACATTCATATCTATATATTTTTTTAAGCATTTAACTGCTAGATATTTAAATCTAAAGACAAATTTTGATAGAAAAAAAAACTGCACAGGGATCAGGCAGCAGACAGGACCTACAATGCAAAGAGATGGCGCTGCCTTGCAGGCTAAGTAGGGCTAGAGAAAATTCGACACGGCCGCTGCGGTAGCATATGGTCAGTGCCTTCACCCAGATAGCGAAAGGTGCACATTCATATCTTTTATAAAAGTTAATGCCTTCCTGGAGGTAATTTGAATGCACTCTTTCTACTCTTTTCTCTTTATACTTTTTATTACAGGAATTTAGGTATTTAAAACATGTTTTTTTCTGTAAATCAATTCTTAGGATTAAGTGAGATAGGTATGTCACTTGCCTGTTTAACTGTAAATTTAATATGAACATGCATAGAAATAAGATAACCACTAATAATATCTAACTGTAAACTATACGTAAAATATGTTAAGGATATCAAATTATCAGTTATTAGTTGAAATGCATAGATTCAATGCAATGGAAACAAAACCAGTATCTGATTTGAAATAAAATAAAATTTTAAAGGCGGTAAAACAATGATTGTCAGTAGGAGGACTCACGTCTGGCCGCCTGCACAACATCCTTGACTTCCTTGATGAGTCGCTTGATCTGCTGACTGGTGCGCTCGAGCTCCTTCTCGTGGCGCTGCAGATTCTCGCGGAACTGGGGGCTGTCCGCCAAACACTCGGTGAACTCGAGCGGCTGCAGGCCCACGCCCATGGTCACCCACTCGCGCGCCCAAGATCACAACACCCGCACTTTCACCAGCTGCCCTTCGACGGGGGCATTCTTATTAGACACCAAGCAGTGGTTCTTGGACAGAAGCTACTTTTTGGCAAGAATAGTCTTACAAGATATCCACTAAACTACGTTTTGTAAAATTATAAGTCTTTATTAGTCTCGTTTCAGCGAGACTGATGTGCAATGGTTGCGCAGCTGTCAAATACTGAATGTTGTCATATCAATCATACCAAATTATTTCTAAATGTGCTTCTACTAAAGATACGTTTCAAACTTTCAAATTCAGTTGCTGTTTTTTTAGCAGAAAAAAAAAACAAAAATGTGTAGTTTACTATGAAGATGAAACTTTAACTCATACGCAAAAATCCATATTTTCATCCCAATACATGCTACGGCAGCGCTATCTAGTCTAAAAAAGTCCCACAGGGATCCGAATCCAAGACTAGGCGACATTTTAAAAATTGACAAGCATACCTCTTACACCATGCAGATCTTTAAAATACAAACCGAGATTATTGTAATCATGTTTATAGAAATATTATTTTATTTTTATTGACATATTATTTTATTCATTAATTTTAATTATTGACAAAAAATTTATAATTGAATTTCCACAATAATAAAAAATAAGTACTAAATTAAAGTACTACTGTGAATGAGATCAATTGAATAAGTTACATTATAAAATTAATGAAATCAGATGACATTTATGCATAATATGAGAAATAAAGTTGTTTAATACAAATTAGGTTCTTCTTACAATACAATATTGTTAGAATCATTTTATTACTTCAAAGAATAATTTTGAATGTTTCTTGGTGAATAAATATTGTCGAAATTCCTGAAAGACTTCTTTAACTATTTATATTCCGGTGTCAATATATTGAAGAACACAGTCTTCTATTTCAATCCCTCACACATTTTAATATTATTATGAGGTTTAAAGGTAGTCGCACATATTTCAGGACCGTACGCACCGCACACGCCGAATTCCTAATAGCACACTGGAGCCGTACGCGCCACACGTAAATCTAAAGTATTGGCAACTTTCGCAGTTTTTTGGTTTGAAACGAGATGGTGACACAAAGTGATCTATGGAAGAAAATATTGTAGAATGGCATTTTTATTGGTATAGGCAGAAGAAAATTAAACTTGAAGAAAAAAAGCGAGTGTGCTTATGACCACACGACTGAAGTGAAAATTCTTTAGCTCCATTTGTATGTATACAGGGCGTCCCACGGCTACCTCACACGGAGGGAAAGTATATTAAATATTGAAGATAGGACATTTTACTGAAAGAAGACATCATTTTATTTTTAATAATAACTAGAATTGCATTCACAGATTTTTTAAAAATCGCCTGCTACAACTGGGAATCACACTCGTAAAATTTCGAAAAAAATAACACGGCATATTTTAAGAAGTTTTATTTTTTGCTAAATAACATAGCATTTTAAATGAAAGGAATGTGAATTACGTGATAAAAATAATAAAGTGTTATACAAACTGTAGTAGTATGCATTTCTTTTTGAACTCACAGTAACAATACGACTGGCAGAAATTTGTAATAATAATAATTCGAAAATGGAACACATAAATTTTCAAGTGTCTGTTCTCTTGTTTTTTGTGAGTTTCATTTTCATTTATTTGCATTTTTTGTTAATTTACTGTGTTCTATTTTCTAATTATTATTACAAATTTCAGTCAATCGCATTGTAACTGAATTCAAAAAGAAATGCATACGTACTACAATTTGTATATCACTTTATTATTTTTATCACGCTATAAGACATTCCTTTCATTTAATATACAATACATACATGTATGTACATACACATAATATATACTATTTTTCTACAAATATTTTAATTTATTTCATGCTTTCATTGATAAACAAAAAAGTCAAATTTCCCATTCCCAAACTTAACCTGAAGATTTGTTGATAGAAAAAAATAAACCTACGACGGATTTCGATATCGTAGAATTAATAGTAAAATACTAAATTATTATTGATTATTGATACGTCGTGCAATCAATTAAAAAACCTATTTCAATAGTTAACATCAAGTAAACATGTAAGTTAGCACTAGATTCATGAATTTTGTAACGGGTATCGTTCATTATTTACCGATGAGTTACCGGTGACATTAATCGTAACACGTGACTCGTAATTCATTTGCTAGTTTACCCCCAAAGTCAAGCGTGCCTAAAGAAGTTTCACTTCAAAAAGAGGATTCTGGATCCTCAAAATTAATTCAAACAAGGCACTCATATGGATAATATCACACGATATTTCCAGACTTATTACACGATGATCAAGGATTTTTCAGATATTTGCATTTTCTATTCAGGACAAGAATTACTATATATTTGCGGACCCATTGCCAAAAAGTAGCAGAAAAAGCTACACGATGTGGCAATACTGTCGCGCCGCCTTTAAGACGTTCCAAAGCCCGAATAAATTTTAATAAATGGATGCCTACCGCATCTTCTGAAATGCGGCGCGAACGGTGTTTGTGTGTGTGTGCTTTTTATCTTATTTCTTATATACAAACCTACGGTACATTAAGGCGCCGGTGATTCATTTTTATTTAAAGTTTATGGATTAAACCAAAACATCAAGGTCGCCAGCTGCGGTTCTGCCATCTACCCAAAAACTTCTAATTGATACTTTTTATTTAATCTGGTAGCACAATTTGTTGACGTTTGAAAAACCATAGATAGTATAGAATGTTCTACTGATGAACGCTATGGACGTATTAAGGACCGTTTATACGAGATTAATAAAAGAGGTAATCTAAACGTTTTATACTATATCTATGATTCATAGACAAAGAATTTCGCGTGTTAATGCCAGTCAATCAAATCCAAGACCTTTATTTACCTCTAAGGAATATTCCTTTTTTTTTCATTAGATTTAAATAACATAAAGGAAAAAAAAATTAGACCCCACCCCCCCGGTTCTAATTTTTTCCTCTGAATCCGAATTTGAAAGCAGATAAAAAATTTAAAATTTCCGGTTCCAGGGGTGGTGAGTAGCGGGTCAGGGACACCCAAGTCTTTTTTTGTTACATGTTAAGATAAGATATAAGAGATATCTATCATCGTAAATTATCAAACATCCTGGACAATTCGCACGACAGTCGCTATTTCATGGCTTCTTTACATTTATATTTTAGTATTAGCTGTGCCTGCGACTTCATTCGCATGAATTTCGGATAACGGTCGACAGATTCACAACTCTTTAGGTCAGGCAGGACAACAGCATAATCACTGAGCTTTATTATTCTGAGAGCACGACGTGTGTCAAATCACAGTTTCGCTCATAGACGGGGTAGGGTTATCAATCAAATACAAACATTTCCAATACAAATATGTATTTTTCAACAAAATAATATTATTGTGTAAATAAAGTGCATTGAAAAAAAAACTTACAAATGTAAGAGATAATTGCAGATTTACTTAGATAACCGGGCCTTCTTGACTGGCATGATTCTCTGAAACTGACAGCAGCATATTAACATTATTTGAAAAAAAAAAATAAGAATGGAAATAATAAGGATGAAGGATATATTCTGCTCTCAAGTTTAGTTGATTTTGAAGAATCATGCTTGAATTAGGCCATAATATATGAACATAATGGAATTATTAATCTAATCAGTATTCCTACGCATCCTCCATTCATTCCAATACATAGATAATTCATTTAAAAATGCAGTGCAAATTGGTAAAATTGTACTTCCAGGGCCCAAAATTTGATACTTGATTTTTTTTTGTAGAAAAGGTGTTTTTTTAACAGATTTTTTTTCCTGGCGCTTCGCCGGCCGCTGCCGCGCCACGCTCGCTTTGCTCGCTCGGCTCGCGCGTTTTGGTCACAACACTAACCTAACCTAGTGTGTAGTATTTTGTTAAACAAATGGAATCAGATGACATTTATGCATAATTTGAGATATGTGGTTTAATACTAATTAGGTTCCTTATATACATAACTGTTTAAAAATTAAATTCTTTTGTAATTTTTATCTTTAACTGTACTGTATATTGCGATACCCGACAGGGTTCATGTTAGGTACTATAAGCATTTTGTAACCATCGATGTAACCACATGAGTGCAATAAATTGTATTGAATTGAAGTATCACCACTTGGGCCCTGGAAGTACAGTTTAGCCCAGCTCTCAATGAATCCTATGTTTTTACAGCATTCTGGCCGAGTTATATCAACTCCCTTGCACCCTTATAAATAAACAAAAAACTAGTCCGCCAGTTGCATGTTTTATTTAAAATCACTAAAATAGACATTTTATTAATAGCGACAAAACACTGCGAAAATGTGCTTTAGTTTTTCGTTTACTAATATAAAGGTAGACAGTAAGCCTCGTTTAAGGTTTAGCGGTTGCGGCGTCGTCATCGTTGTCGTCGTCATCTTCGTTGGAGTCGTCGGAGTCGCTGTCGTCATCGTCGTCGGAGCACGAGTATGAGTATGAGTAAGAGTAGTCCCCGGCTTCTGCGCCCTCGCCATCGTACTCCCCTGCACATAAATGTATCATCATCATCATCAGCCTATTAATGTCCCCACTGCTGGGGCACAGGCCTTCCCTATGGATGGAATAGGGAGATTGGGCCACCACGCGGGCCCAGTGCGATTTAGCGGGTGTTAACGACTGCAGATACAGCCGGGACCAACGGCTTAACGTGCCTTCCGAAGCACGGAGGAACTCGAGATAGTAAATTTTTGGTCACCCATCCAATGACCGACCACTGCGAAAGTTGCTTAACTTCAACGATCGCAGCCGAACTCCTCAATACTATAATTATCCTATTTATTAATCACGCAAAAACAACTTAACGTGTTTGTATGAAATTTGATTCGCATATAGTTCATGAACTGGATCGAGACAAAGATTACAGTTTATCATGGAAAAATGTTAGGTTCCTGTGGGATTCTCAGAAAACTAAAGTTAATGCGGAAGAAGTCACGGGCGGCCACTTTTATTAAATACTAGTGGCCCGCCCTCGCTTCGCTTCGGTGTAGAGCTGTAGTGTAAACTATAGTTTTTGTTCTCAGGCTTGTGCTATAAACAATGACTTTATTTATATAATTACACGTGTTATTGTGAGTCAACCATAAAAGATAGACATAAGCTATTGCGGAATATTTTTTAGACAATTTTATGTAGAATATTTCCGTCATACATGATTTCTATGTAACTTTAACCATTAAGGCTGCACCCGCGACGGAAGCTTAAAAAATGGAGTAACTTCTCCCGTTTTCCCAACATTTCCCTTCACTACTCTGCTGCTATTGATTGTAGCGTGATGAAAAGTATACTATGACCTGCCCAGGAGTATGAAGAATAATTGTACCAAGTTTCGTTAAAATCCGTCGAGTAGTTTTTGTTTCTATAAGGAACATACACACAGACAGACAGACAGACAAAAATTTTACTGATAGCATTTTTGGCATCAGTATCGATCACTAATCACCCCCTGATAGTTATTTAGAAAATATATTTCATGTACAGAATTGACCTCTCTACAGATTTATTATAAGTATAGATTGTTTGTCCATTGTCAACCAAAAACCATTGTCAATGCACTGTCGAAGCATAAAGTAAAATTGCCCAGATAGGTGAGATCATATGCCACATAGTTCACATCCGTAGCCTTAGCACAAACCTAAATCAAATTCGAATAGTTTGCGAGTGCTAAATGTCATTGTCAAAAGTGTACATATTTTTAGTCCTCGTTACATTCGTTGGGGCGCTGCTGTTCAAGTTTCCATACAAAATCTGATAATGATATTTTAGACTCGCAAACTATTCGAATTCGATATTGGTTCGTGCTAGGGGTACCGCTTTTACACCTTTACTTACAAAAATGCTAGGTATAGTCAATAAATAATACAGTTTAGTTTTACAACATTGTTGAATATATGATTCTTTAAGCCTAAACTTAAATTTGACAACAGTATATTCTTTTCATTCTTTCTACAGAATGAAAAGGAGATATTGATGTTAAATTTATTATAAGTTTAGAGAATCATTCCAGAATCGTCACCAGTGGTGTCGATTCTGGCACGATTCTCTAAATCTAAACTTAAATTTGACAACAGTGGTGTCGATTCTAGCATGATTCTCTAAACCTAAACTTAAATTTGACAGCAGTATGTATATCCTTGTCATTCTCTATACAGAATGAAAAGGAGAGACTGATGTTAAATTTAGTTTTAAGTTTAGAGAATCACACCAGAATTGGCACCAGTGTATCCTTGTCATTTTTTTTGTTAAATTCTCCCTTTTCAGGGAAGGCAAGGGGAACAATGCCCATACAGCCTAGTCTTAAGTAGAATTATTCTGTTTTTCTTTTTACATTAGAATGTCGGTGTGACGCATTCTAATGATCCTTGAAGTATTTGGCACGAAATGTATCGAGTTGGCTTTTTCGATAAGCTTCTGTGAGGTAGTCAATACTACAATAAAATTCTCACGTCCACTTGACCGGAATATCATATATTTTGACGATTTTACTAATTCCTCAGTTATGTAGACAGTTGTAACACAAAACCACACCAATTTTATTTCACAATATCCACTATGAATGAATTTAAGAATAATTAAAATAAGACGCCAACCACACTCGATGAAATCCCGCCAAAAACTCGTATCTTTGTCATTCTCTATACAGAATGAAAAGGAGAAACTGATGTTAAATTTAGTTTTAAGTTTAGAGAATCATTCCAGAATCGTCACCATTATATTGTTAAAGAAAGTATGTATTTGTGTTCGCTTCTGTGGACAGAGTACCACAGATAGTGTTGATTATAATGTAGTAAGTGTTCATACCGGAGTAGGCGGCGTCGTCTTCTGGTTGCGCGACGCCCTGTCGCCCGTAGCGATGCGTACGAGCTGCAAATAACAGGGAAAGTATTTCACATACACGTCATCTGAGCGTTCCCTGTACAATTGTAAGGTAAAACTGGCTATTTAAGTGAGAGAGCGAGCGGGGTAAATAGCTCGTGCGAGTTATCACAAAGTAACGTCATTCCTGAAACTACCTCACTATGTTTTGACGACAATGCGGCATTTCTTGTTCGAGTGACGTATACAATCTTGCATTATTCTTAAAAACCTATATAACAATAGAGGCGGATCTATGAATCCGCAGATCAGTTGTTAGACTGTGAAATGTAATTGGTTTTTAGTAAAAGGAGTTTGCATTGATTTTTATTGTTATTAGCTTTTTTAAATTTAATAGATAATGGTATCGATTCTGGCATGATTCTCTAAACCTAAACTTAAATTTGACAGCAGTATATCTTTGTCATTCTCTATACAGAATGAAAAGACGACTGATGTTAAATTTAGTTTTAAGTTTAGAGAATCACGCCAGAATCGACACCAGTGTATATGTGAGGCAGGAGGGGGGGTGTAGTGTAGGGCGGGGCTCACTGGAGAGACACAGGTCGGTGACGGCGATGGTGGCCAGATGGCAGCGCGGACAGGGCGGAGCGCCCCGCTTGGCGGCGGCGCCGGGGAGGGGGGGGGGGGGGGGGGGTATAGTGTAGGGCGGGGCTCACTGGAGAGACACAGGTCGGTGACGGCGATGGTGGCCAGATGGCAGCGCGGACAGGGCGGAGCGCCCCGCTTGGCGGCGGCGCCGGGGAGGGGGGGGGGGGGAGGGGGGGTATAGTGTAGGGCGGGGCTCACTGGAGAGACACAGGTCGGTGACGGCGATGGTGGCCAGATGGCAGCGCGGACAGGGCGGAGCGCCCCGCTTGGCGGCGGCGCCGGGGAGGGGGGGGGGGGAGGGGGGGTATAGTGTAGGGCGGGGCTCACTGGAGAGACACAGGTCGGTGACGGCGATGGTGGCCAGATGGCAGCGCGGACAGGGCGGAGCGCCCCGCTTGGCGGCGGCGCCGGGGAGGGGGGGGGGGGAGGGGGGGGTATAGTGTAGGGCGGGGCTCACTGGAGAGACACAGGTCGGTGACGGCGATGGTGGCCAGATGGCAGCGCGGACAGGGCGGAGCGCCCCGCTTGGCGGCGGCGCCGGGGAGGGGGGGGGGGGGGGGGGGGGGGTATAGTGTAGGGCGGGGCTCACTGGAGAGACACAGGTCGGTGACGGCGATGGTGGCCAGATGGCAGCGCGGACAGGGCGGAGCGCCCCGCTTGGCGGCGGCGCCGGGGAGGGGGGGGGGGGAGGGGGGGTATAGTGTAGGGCGGGGCTCACTGGAGAGACACAGGTCGGTGACGGCGATGGTGGCCAGATGGCAGCGCGGACAGGGCGGAGCGCCCCGCTTGGCGGCGGCGCCGGGGAGGGGGGGGGGGAGGGGGGGTATAGTGTAGGGCGGGGCTCACTGGAGAGACACAGGTCGGTGACGGCGATGGTGGCCAGATGGCAGCGCGGACAGGGCGGAGCGCCCCGCTTGGCGGCGGCGCCGGGGAGGGGGGGGGGGGGGGGGGGGGGGTATAGTGTAGGGCGGGGCTCACTGGAGAGACACAGGTCGGTGACGGCGATGGTGGCCAGATGGCAGCGCGGACAGGGCGGAGCGCCCCGCTTGGCGGCGGCGCCGGGGAGGGGGGGGGGGAGGGGGGGTATAGTGTAGGGCGGGGCTCACTGGAGAGACACAGGTCGGTGACGGCGATGGTGGCCAGATGGCAGCGCGGACAGGGCGGAGCGCCCCGCTTGGCGGCGGCGCCGGGGAGGGGGGGGGGGAGGGGGGGTATAGTGTAGGGCGGGGCTCACTGGAGAGACACAGGTCGGTGACGGCGATGGTGGCCAGATGGCAGCGCGGACAGGGCGGAGCGCCCCGCTTGGCGGCGGCGCCGGGGAGGGGGGGGGGGGAGGGGGGGTATAGTGTAGGGCGGGGCTCACTGGAGAGACACAGGTCGGTGACGGCGATGGTGGCCAGATGGCAGCGCGGACAGGGCGGAGCGCCCCGCTTGGCGGCGGCGCCGGGGAGGGGGGGGGGGGGGGGGGGGTATAGGGTAGGGCGGGGCTCACTGGAGAGACACAGGTCGGTGGCGGCGATGGTGGCCAGATGGCAGCGCGGACAGGGCGGAGCGCCCCGCTTGGCGGCGGCGCCGGGGAGGGGGGGGGGGGAGGGGGGGTATAGTGTAGGGCGGGGCTCACTGGAGAGACACAGGTCGGTGACGGCGATGGTGGCCAGATGGCAGCGCGGACAGGGCGGAGCGCCCCGCTTGGCGGCGGCGCCGGGGAGGGGGGGGGGGAGGGGGGGTATAGTGTAGGGCGGGGCTCACTGGAGAGACACAGGTCGGTGACGGCGATGGTGGCCAGATGGCAGCGCGGACAGGGCGGAGCGCCCCGCTTGGCGGCGGCGCCGGGGAGGGGGGGGGGGGGGGGGGGGTATAGTGTAGGGCGGGGCTCACTGGAGAGACACAGGTCGGTGACGGCGATGGTGGCCAGATGGCAGCGCGGACAGGGCGGAGCGCCCCGCTTGGCGGCGGCGCCGGGGAGGCCGGGGCGCCGCACGTGCTCCTCGCAGTAGCACGACTTGCAGCGCAGGCACGAGTACTGCCCCAAACGGTTGCACGACTGGCCTGTATCCGACACGAAACGACCGATTATCAATGTGAAATCTTATAGATATCATCGGCTGACTATGGTTGTGCATGATCGAAATCCGTTCGGATAGAGAGCTATTGCAATGGAAAATATAATTGACATAAAAATTTAAAGACTATCCTTGACGGAAACAAAAAATTAGGACCCGATTTACAATATTAATATAGACAGATTTTTATATGTTCGCAATGTTTGTCACATCTGTAATGAAACAATTGAACATGTTTCATGTGAATAAAATTAATATTTGTTCACAGACAGGAAATAATCCAGAGTACCAGTATACTACTGAGCGAAGACTGCCTAGTTGTCCGTTCACTGCTTCATGAAAAAAGCTTGAATTAATTTTAACATCACAAAGTTAGTAAAATACTTACACTTGTAAGTCTCAGACTCGAGGACCTGGCAGGAGGCCTGGTGCTCGAACTGGTCGTCCTCGCACAGGAACCCCTGACAGAAACAGCAGCGGAACACGCGACCACCGTGCTCCCATACACCTGCAGTTCATATACACCTTACATTATGCCACAGACATATCATCGTAACATGCATTTATCGCCAACACGCCTTTGAATAATTGGCATAGCTGTATACCACTTTTTAAACATTACTTTCGCTTAACATAATCACTGCCAGATTTAGGGGAGGGCAACCGGAGTGAAAGCCCCGGGGCCTCCACAAACAGGGGGCCCCCACAATAGACTTGGGAAAACAAAATCTTTCAAATTCCAACTATTAAACACTAGTAAACATCTTTTCCTTTGATATTTTTTTTTGCTCTTTTACTTTTACCTACAGCCTTCAGTACTTTGTACATCTAACATACAAGATTATTTGATTATATTAATCTTAAATAACAGAAATCATTGATCTATATTTGTTCACTCCAATCAGGCAATCAGTGAAATATCAAAATCTCAAATGGCCCTGATAAGCATTTCCAATTCACTACTCATCTTGAGGGAGTACCCCAATCGCTCAATGGGTGAGTGGGGTGGTACTTGCCCGCAGGGCCGAATTTAAGGCAGGACAGGTGGGGCTGTGGCCCAGGGGTCTGCACAACAGCTTAAGAAATAACAACATTTCGATGGGTTAACAAGAATACAAATCCTAAGTGGCCCGGGGCCTCCACAATCCTAAATTCGGCCCTGAACGTAATACATATGTTAATCAGATTTGTCATTCATTTAAATTGAAAGGCCGCCTCTCGCGGGGAACTTTTGTCCCTGAAGTGAATAAAGACAAAGCTACTATTTCATAAGTTAAATTTCAAAGGAATTTCATTGAACACTTTTGTACACATAGAAACAGATACACTACCTCTCTCACACTCAAGGCACACGGCATCAATGAGGGGACAGGAACAGGCATGTGTGGTGAGACACTTGCGTCCGTGGCACACCCATGCCTCACAGAAGTCACATATAGCACCCTAGAATGAGATCAGTCTTTAAAACATAGTTTTAGTTAGGCCCCATCATCTAAAGTTACAGTTGAATTAGACAAAAGTTTCTTTTTAAAAATTATAACCACCAACCACCGTACTACTAAATAAACATACATACATGGACATATCATAAGTGAAGTTGATATAAAATTTGGTGTGCCCCAGGGTTCGGTTATTAGACCAACACTGTTTCTCATTTACCTAAATGCCTCTGCAATATACAGCTTAATAATACTACGGTATTTTCCTATGCTGACTTAGACATAACTTACTGACACTAAATGATCCTAAAACTAACTTCATGTGCTTTACAATTAGTAGTAAAACACAACTACATTGTGATTATAATCTTAAAATACATAATTACACCAGTCATGATAAGACTAACTGTAGTTGCCCTGGTATTAATATGGTGAGCTCAACTAGATATTTAGGAATCATGATTGATAAAAGACTCCTTGCACTCCCAAATTGACTTAATAGCCAGCAGAATAAGGAAGCTGATTTGGATTCCGAACCTTCGACATTCCTGAAGTCAAGACCTTCTTAAAAAAAACTATGTTACATTAGCACAATCAATCATGACCTATTGCATGCATACAGTATGGGGTGGAGCATCTAAGGTAAAATTCTTTGAGGCAGAACGTGCAGAGATTGCTTCTTAAAATTATGTTATTCAAAAAACTAAGATTCTTAGCTCAGTTACTATACTCAATAACTAATTTATTAACAATTCGACAACTTTATATTTAGCATTCTATATTAAAAAAACACAAATCGCTACCTGTAAGTTCATTTACTTTAACCAAAAGAAGAAAAGACAGCATAGCTAAGACCAGCAATTGTAAAACGCATTTTGCAAATCACCAGTACAAAAATCAATCATCTCACCTTTTTAAGTTCGTAAACAAGATTCTGAACATTTATATAAGAAAGACAAATTTCGAAAAAAAGCAACTGCTTACCAACTGGCTGACAACTCTTAGTAATGAGGATACTGAAAGCTTGATAATTAAGTAGTTTAAACTTTACCACACTGAATTAGATTTAACAGTTTGCATGTACACATTATTTGTAGTAATCATGTACGAATTGCTATTAGCTTATGTAATGTTTGTGTGTTCTTATTTTAACACTGCACTGGCTGTATTTTACATAATCACTTCAAGCTATGGGAGAATGGCTTTCCCTGGCACATGTGTTCTCACACTTAAAAGGGGAATCCAACCTCTAGTATTGTAACATGCTTTATGTAAGTAATAAACATTTTTTCATTTTTATTTGTAAGAAATTCGATACTTTTTTTTTATAAGAGGTAGGCAAATGACTCTATTACCACTAACATCAGGTGGGCACCTGATGTTAAGTGGCAATAAAGTCCAAACGCGAAGATAGCTGGTACAGCAGTTATAAACTGCTACACCAATCATCCTGACCTTGCCGGCCTGCAAAAATGCTTCTTCACGCCTCTCTTAAAGGCAAATGGTAGCTAGATACTTACAACCATAGCGAGTCCTGTGGTGAAAGTGCCAGGGTGGCGCACCACGCAGTCGCCGGACTTCGCCATGCACTTCACCTTGCCACACGCGGCACAGGCCGGCAGCCGTTGCACTGCCGAGCAGAAGTAGCAGAAGGCACGACTCTTCTGCTTCCTGCACATAATACAAATACACAAGTTTGAACTTCAGACCTACCAAAGTAATTCGAAGGGTGTGCATTAAACAGAGAATTAAAACGCAGGGAACTTACTTCTGACATTTATCGCATTCCATCGGTAAGTTGGAGGGATGCTGCGCCAGGTCAACATGACCACGAGCATTTCTAATTTCTTTCTGTCTCAGTTTCTGCTTCTCCGCCTTTTTTCGTTGGCCTGTTTTCTTCTTCGGCATCGTTAATATAGTTAAATAGCGTGCACCACGACTTAGGATGTGTTTAAATATTGAAAAAAAAATTAAAAACTAAGCTAAATTTCTCATTTTCAAGGCTTCTTGGCACGGCATGAAATCTTCATGTAAAAACTATGATTTGACCAATTTTGTGACCATAGACAAGGAACGGTACTTTAGAATCTGACATTTACCTCGCCCTCTTCATCCCTTTCAGTCATCTCCGTTCTACACGTCCACGTCAAGGACCACAGATTAATAAGATTACGTCTAAAGTTCTCTAAAGTTCAAGGATTTTATAAACTCCTTAGTTCGCGTACGTCAATGGTAATGGACCGCCCATGGAACTAATAAGTACTACGTACAACTGGAATGCTCACTAGTTTCGGAGAGCGAGCTGAAAGAGAGGTTAAATTACTTTGTCTGTCCTTGTCTGAACACGTTAACCACATTTACTAAATATTTAGGATTATTTTCGCGTTGCAGTTGAACAATCATCGAACATATTTTTATTTTTACAGAATGATGTCACTTTGTATGTAAAATCAATGTAAAGGATGTTTTTAAACAGATATTTACTCTATTCGGGTTTACTTGCACGAGCACTACATATTAAAATAAAATAGGCACTCTTTCGATCGAAACTTCAGACTAAATAAGAAAAATGTGTTTCAAACTAATGATGCGCGAGTAAATGCGAAAAGTGTGTTTCATTTAAAAGATATTAAGTAAAACTTTGTGAAACTCCACACGAAATGCTCAGATAGCCCTTGATTATGAAATCCGATTGATAAAATGAACTGTCATTTTCGATTGATATTCATTGCTTCTCTATTGAATGTCGCTGCAACAAAACTAATCACTAATCTACATAGTTAGCAACTACGTGAGAGTTCTTATTAGCAACCGAAGTTACATTTTCAAACTCCAGCAAAGCTATTTTTAATTGTATCAATATCCATCTCAAATATAAATCAGAATGACCTTAATAAGTTTTCATCCTGTACTGTTCAAATCAGTAACTTTTAATAAAATAAAACAATTCATATAGGTGCAGACTATATTTATTTTAAAACATTTAAATTATACATTGCTAAACAAAATATTTTTTTGTAATTTATGCCTCAAAGTCGCACGGGATGACAAAATGCGTTGCATAGTTACATCTTTTCCATATGAAGACATTCTTAAAGTAATGTATTTATTAACAATAAATCTCAATAGACGGTACCACTCCAGGCTTCAATATTTTCCGAGCTTCAGTTCTGTAGTTTTCAGCTTTGAAGTGAAGGGTGCATTTAACAGAATTATTATTGAAGTTTCCAGAAATTACCTCAAACTATTTGTCTCACTTCAACATTCAATTGCAACCTAGAAAGAAATTAACTGTCAGAAATATTTTGTGTATTTTTTTACATAATTTCGGAAAATGAAATTGCAAAACACAATTAAATTGAACATTTCTACAAAAACTTGATTTAAAGGATACTTTAATTAAAAACCGAGCCAAATAAAAATATAGTACTGAAAAGTATAGAATATGTTTCTTCATCTTTCACTATTACATATTTCCCTTCTTAAATCCTTAGTTCGCTAAGATGGCACAGTCACCCTAAGACTAATAAATGATAAACTTACCTGTGAAATGATATTCCACAACCAGGATACCGTTCTTTAGTACACCTACTTAGAGTACATATATTGTTTACTATTTTAAAAACAACGTTGGGTTCAAACAATTTAGCCTGATTTAAACCAACAGGAAACCAATTAAAATACGCAGTAGATTCAATTCACAAGAAAAAACCTGACGCCATATTGTTTACAATCGGTGAAATATTTCTACCAGTGTTGCAAGTCTTAACATTCTAATAACTTACAATCTAATGCGGTTAATAATAAAAAACAATTAAGTCTGACTTTGTTGTTTTATACTATATGTCTAATTTATAACAATAAATATTGACTTAACGAAGCTGAAATATATTTTATTAACAACAGCTTTGAAATGTGAAAAAAACCATTTCACGAATTGATTTTTAGTTGCCGTATGCCTGTTTGCTAGTTCCTTATTCATTTATAATATACCGTAAACATTCCAATTTAAATAGTGTTTCTAATTCTATGAAAAAATAATCACCTAAGTAACACATATTTTCTACTCTTAATTGAACAAATATTCATGATGGCAATTGTGTGAGAGGGACACACCAAGATAAAGTTGGTCTCTTTCGAGCTCGTTTTCTATTCGGTTACTGAGTTATTCGATAATGAACCATAGCTTATAAGAGGTACGGTTTACTTTGATTTGACAAAATAACTACAGTGAGCATTCCAGTTGTACGTAGTACTTATTAGTTCCATGGGACCGCCCAAGGAACTTACTTATCTCTCTCTCTCTCTCTCTCTAACCCATATTAGATGTATGAAACTGTATATATGTTTCTGACTTTAGTTTACCCCCTCATTAGTCTGTGGTATTGTTTTGAATTTGTTTTGTTGTGAGTTTTTTGTTATTGTTTTGTTGATGAATTGCGTCTTTGTATTTTTATCAGCGCAATATCATTAATTCAGTAATCATATAAACCTAAACAGGGGAAAATTATTTGGTGTGTTTAATATGCATTGCTAAAACACGATTATTTATACTTATTAAAGTTAAAAAGAATGATAACTACAAACAAGGTCCTGTTGTACGAATCTGTACAACTATGCCATTTCGAACAGTCTGATTGGCTTTGTTCAGTGTAATTTGCGGAAGGGATTAATTTTATCCCCAGAGATCTCCATTACGCTAGGATATTGTGCTCGTGTACTAATATGTTAACCCCCACTCAATTGGTAAGTTTTACATTGCTATGTGTATGCATTTCTTTATCTATTATTTCCGGTAATTAAGGTAGAAATCGCTATTAAAACCCCTTCAGTTTGAAAAATTTAAGTAAATCAAAAAATTTTAAAAAATCCTAAAATATCTGTCGAAAGACAATTTTACTAGAAGAAATATAAATATACTCAGTTTCAGACGGGATTGGCTGATTGGAATATTTTCTAGTAAAATGTTCTTTAGATTTTAACATCTAGCAGTTAAATGCCTCAAATATAAATATAATATTGTATAGCAGGTATTTGTTTAAAAAAATGCAGGGTCTCCTCTTAGGGCAATATCAAATTGTTCTTATAAATTGTTCTAAATCTTGTCAAAGCCCAGGAACTGTTCAACATGTTCCAAAGCTGCTATATTTGGTTGTTATTGCAATGAATCTTTACTTGTGCTATTCGGTAAAATAGCTAGAAAACTGAAATGATTACTTATTGCCAAAAATCCAGTCAAATAAAAAGTAGGCTCTAGAGCAGCTTAGCAACATGAAAATCTATTTATATGTTGGTTTTTCTGTCGCACTAAAATACATTGAATGTAGTGGATCGAGTTGCTGTGGAAGAAGGCAATTCTCTTCCATCAATTAAAACTCTATTAAGAATTTTAGTTGGTTTATAAATATATCCATGTGTAAAACAGACAGTACAGAACTGAAATTAAATTATACTTTATTTAAATTGACTTAATGAAAGTACCTTTGATTTGCCCTATAGATTTTCCTACCACCCATTCAGGGGGCCAATCGCCTAACGGAAATGCTTTGGGAAACGCTAACGCTTACGATTTTATATTGTTATTTCTAGCCGCCTGAGGTTTTCGAATACCTCACGCTCATTTTTAATAATATTGTTATTACCAATGCAAAAGAAAAAGAAAGAGCGCGAGGCATTTGAATACCTCAGGCGGCTAGAAATAACAAAATAAAATCGTAAGCGTTAGCGTTTTCCAAAACATTTTCGTTAGGCGATTGGCCCCCAGGATATCTTTTAGCCGATGAGGAGAATGAGCGCAAGCTACTCATCAGCATTTATATTTAGAAGTGGCAACATTTACAAGAAGAAAATGTTGCTACCATACAGTATGAGTACAGACAGACAGACAAAGCTGTATACATGTGCCCCAAGATGCTGCCTATAATTTTGTGATTCACTCTTTGTGAGGAACCCTACATTGCCCTACCGTTATATCAGGGGGTAACGTTGAACACTATGGTGTATCTGCAGTATAGTTATGATCGATATGGTATGGTTTGGAGCTCAAAGGCACCAGTGGTTAGCGCTTGTCATGTATGATTTAAGAAACTTTTCCAATAGTCGGTTATCGGAAGGGTGACAAAAAATGTATTATCTCAAGTTCCTCCATACTTCGAAGAGCACGCTAAGCGTCGGTCCCGGCTGCAGCTGCAGTAATTAGCACCAACCTACACGCGCTTCGCTCGCGTGGTGCGTCAGTCACACCCTATCCGTACCCCTACCACGAACCATTATCGAATTCGAATAGTTTGCAAACCGAAATGTCAATGTCAATTTTTGTATGGAAACTTGAACAGCAGCGGCACAAAGTACGCAACGAGAACTAAAAATCTGTACACATTTGACAATGAAGTTTTGGACTCGCAAACGATACGAATTCGATATTGGTTTGTGCTAGGGCAGTGTTTCCTAACCTTTCGAATACTGCTACCCCTGTAACCTATTAGGAAAACAGATTTTACTCTGACTTTAAGATGTTATCATCAGTTCAAGAAATACCAATTGGGCGCTACATCTTCGTCTCTAACAATGTCATCATCAGGAGAAAATCTCGCTCCGCTTCCCACACTCGGCACCCCGCGGGCTCGCTAGCAAGAAGGAGCGCATGCTCTATTTAGTAGTATTATTATATAGTATTTTCTTATTATTTAGATTTGACCAAATAATTAGGTTCTTTGTTACCCCCGAAGTATGGCTGATTTACCTCCACATGGGTAATTACCCCCAGGTTCGGAACCCAGGTACCCCTAGGGTACCTATGTATGTGGAAGGCGTGAGATTAAGGCATTGTCCTAATACAAAGCGATAACGTGAATGAGCGATGCGATCATCGTACGAGTCGACGATCAAACATATTGATCTAGAATAGGTGTCCTAATAGGCGATCGCGCGATGCATTCGCGCGACTAAAATGTTTAAAAATCTATTCGCGCGAACTTGGTTCCCGCGAACGCGCAATCAAACCTATTAATGATGAATAGGTGTCCTAACTGAAGTTCGCACGATGATCGCGTCGGGTCGATAGGAAGCGGGGAGAGGGGCAGGGCTAACCCGTTCCGTATTCGCGTTCTATTAGGACACCCAGTTCGCGATCACGCGATGGTCGCGTCGTTTAAACGCGCGATGATCGCGTTATCGCGTTGTAT